TAATTTTTGAAAATGTTTTGATTGGTTTAAAAATTTGTGTTATTATTTAATTATTAGTTTACTGTTTATTTTTTATTTAATATTTCTTTGATCTGAAAAATTCCACAAAAATTATCTTTGACTCAAAAAATTAATTAGAAATTGATTCTAATTTTTGTTTAACTTTTTTTCTATTTTTGATTATAAATTTAATTTGAGAAGTTTATTTGAAATATTTATTTCATAATTTTTGTTTTAATACTTCCTTTAATTCAAAAATCCTCAAAAAAGTCATATGAGTTTGTTTTTAATCATAGAATCTGAATATAATTTTATTTTGACCTTTTTTTGACTTTTGGCTAGGGTTTGCATTTTTACCTTTAAATAATAGTTTAATTGTTAATTGTTTGTTTAATTTTTGTGTTTAATATTTCCCTTAATTCAAAAATTCCATAAAAAATCAGGGATGTGCGTTTTTAATTCTAATATTTGAATATAATTTTGGTTGGATATTTTTCTGATTTTTGATTAGATTTTCATTTTGAGATGCGATTATTTGTTTAATTGATTAATTGTTTGAATTTGATTTTATTTTTGACTTTTCTTTAATTCAAAAAATATGGAAAGATAGGACCTTTTGAGTTTTGTCATGTTTGATGTATATTGGTTCTGATTTTTTTTTAAATTTTGATCTTGGCTAATCAATGTTTAAGATTAAAAGTAAAAAATTAGGGTTTTGTTGCTTATTGTGCAAGTTTCATGTTCAAAACCATTATGCCCTGGATTTTCAATGGAATTTAAGTCTTGATTAGAGTTCATGGATGTATTGAGGATCTGAAAACCATTTTTCTTGAATTATTTGACTTGGTTTGATATTTTTCCACAAACTATTTTGAAAACTTGTCTAGTTTGGTAGTTTTGCCAACTAGTTTTGAACTTTGGGCCTCATTTGATCCTCTCCTCAATCATTCATGAACATAAGACTTTCTTTCTGACTTCTACACACTTCAAAGATGCTAAGAGATTTTTGGTTTGAATTATTGAGATCATTTTCTATTTTTGATGAATTTTTAAAGTGAAGGTACCAAATTAATGTTGCATATCTTGTTGCAATTTGCTTGATGGCCAATGAACCTAAGTGAGGCCTATAATTGGGCACCTAATGATCATGTTGAATATGTTTATTCAAATAAACTCAAGTCATTTCACTTAATGCCCCATGTTTGAATGGTTGAACCTTTTGATGCATTGTGTGGGATTCACTTCTATTATGCTTGTGAGCTGTAGTTGAATTAATTGTGCATGATTAAATTGTGGTTTCTACTGACCTTCATGGTCTTTGATTGTATTCTTCTCAAGCTCCCATGATCCTTGATTGATATTCAATTGTCAACTCAACATGGTGATAGAAAGGAGCAATATTCCTCTAATTCTTTTGACCAAATTATGCATATGCATGTTTCCTTTTGTCTATCATGATTAATGTTTGATAGTTGCTATCATGTTTTCTCATTTCATTATGGTGTCATCATCCATCCCTTATGTGAATCATCATTTTATTTATGGGAATACTAACTTGGCTGTTGAATGTGCGAGGTACTTTGAGAAAAGTTTTCTATTTTTGACTTGAGGCTACTGTGTTTCACTTTATTTGTGGAACACAATTTATTATGTTTGCACTACTCTTGTGCTTGGCATATTTGATAGTCTATGCAGGATGTGTATATGTGATTATGAATGCCATACATTGCCCATGGGATCTATTCATATCTGATAATCTCATTACTTACATCCTGATGGCGTAATTTCTGACTTAATTTGTCTGTTGATGCCAGCTTGCTTGAAGTTCTCTGGGTTTCTTTTATTCTTATTCAGTTTCTACGGATAGTTATCTGTTTGGTATTACACTATTTCCTTCTATTTTCATTTTGTATAGTTCAATTTTGCATGATGGGACCTTTGTTGCTGATATATGTCAGGAGGTCCTCTGTTTTTATTTGATACATGTGTTGTGTTTGTTTCTTCATTTGTTGATCGATGAGTCACTCAATTTAGAAATTGAGATCACGACTTTGCTCTCAGTGCATGTTCCCTATAGGATGTTTATTGTTTTTCTTCTTTAATTGTTGATCAATTAGTCACTCAATTTAGAAATTGAGATCACGACTTCGCTCTCATTGCATGTTCCCTATAGGATAGTTTTGTTAAGCTTCCTTTGACATGAGAATTAAGGTAGGGTTTTCCTTTATCCTCAACCTTAGGGTCAATCATTGTATGATAACACTAGGGATAGTGCTAGGCTAGTTTCCCTTAGTTGTTTTTCCCTCCTTTGCATTTTGCATCTTAAAACAAAAATTGTTTTTCTTGGCAAATCATAAAACACCTCTAATAAACTCAAACCCTTCTTCAAGGTAAAAGATACAAATCAATTTTATTTGTCTGTGAGCCTCTTGGCTTTGTTTTTATTACCTTTTAGCCGATGTTTCGCCATCGCACATTTATTTGAAGCCGATGTTTCGCCATCGCACATGTTTGTTATCCTACTTTGATTCTCAATATCATTGTTAGGTGTGATGTTTTGTCATCTGATTTATTGATGTTTCGCCATCTTTGCCATGATACTTTACTATCTTTTAGCCGATGTTTCGCCATCGCACATTTGTTTGAAGCCGATGTTTCGCTATCGCACATGTTTGTTATCCTACTTTGATTCTCAATATCATTGTTAGGTGTGATGTTTTGTCATCTGTTTTATTGATGTTTCGTCATCTTTGCCATGATACCTTGTTATCTCTTAGCCGATGTTTCGCCATCGCACATTTGTTTGAAGCCGATGCTTCGCCATCGCATCTGTTTGTTATCCTACTTTGACTCTCAATATCATTGTTAGGTGTGATGTTTTATCATTTGATGTTTCGCCATCTTTGACATGTTACTATATTATTATTTAGTCGATGTTTTACCATCTCATTTATTTGTTGTTTCATTTTATATTTTGCCATTTGATTCCTTAAAAGGGATACGTAGGCATTGGGATAGGGCCCGATCGAGCATAACTTTTATTTTCTCTACATTGTTTTCTTTTTCTTTCGCATATTCCCTTTTCAGTTTTAAGCCATATACATAGGATTTGACTACACCCATTAGATTAGACAACAAGAGTGGATACCGTAGAGTACTACGAGCGCGTGGGGTGCTAACACCTTCTCCTCGCGTAACACTCCCTTACCCGATCTCTCGGTCGAAAGACCGTGATTTCTCCCTTTTCAGATTTTCTCGATGTTCACCTTTCCCTTTCGGCGGGATAAAAGACGTTCGGTGGCGACTTCATTGATATTTCATTACATCCAGATGACAGGTCCGACCGGGTGGTTTCAACTACTATATAGTATACCTAAAACAACTAATGTAGTTTAAACAACTAACTATAAATCAAAACATAAATAAGAGATGAAATTTAAAAAACTTACCAAATCAAATTTATGAGAAGTAGAAACCTGAATGTATGAGATGCTGGAAAGGAGGAGAAAGAACTCCAATGGTAGAAGCTTGAATGAATGGATGAGAAACTTGAATGTATGAGAGCTTAATTGTTTTATTTTCAGGAATTTTGAAAACGAAGGAGAAAAAGGAAAGGGTCTGCACGTGAGGATATGAAACAAAAGCGTTCAGAGATAATTTTTTGAATAAATGGTGATTATAGAAATATATTTTTTGATGTATTTTTTACACATACAAAAATACATCTTTGAATTAAATTTTGGCATAATATAGTAAATCATCCATTTAATCTGAAAAATAGTTTAAAAGTATGCGTCCCAAGAAAAGTCGTGACTTTTCAAAGTGATGGGAGCACGTAGAAAGGGGGGAAAGAACAACCTCCTCTTTTGTTTATTTCATTTGTTAAAAATAAAACAAGTTATATACCTCTTGTCCACTTTTAAGACTCGGTTAGCATATCTTTCTAAAATTCACATATTTATGACGATAAATAGACGGTTGAATTCACATATTTATGCTAAATAAAAATTTTAATTACTTCTAATTTTCCCTAATTGCCATAAATTAGGTTAATCTTTTCACTAATTTTTTAGTCTTTGATGTCATTTTACATCTATTTTCATACCCTATAGAGTGCATATTTTGGACGTAGAACAAAGATCGTTAAGCTGCTATATTATGGAGTCGATATGAATAGTAGGAAATTCCAAAATTTTGCACAATAGTTAAAGGAGAAGATTCTTTTCCCTTAATCCTTTTCAAGGTGCACAACCATCAAAGTGGTGGGTATATCCTTGCCAAAAAAAATTAAAAAAAGACACTTTAATATAAAAACCGTCTAATTTTAAAATTTTGCACATTAGTTACAGAAAGACAAACACCAAATGTCCTATCATAAAACTAAGCTATCTACCACCTTAGCTAGAGAATAAACTAGAATTATGTATCACCAACTATTATCTTTCATGAGAATCAATGTCTAAATTAAATAAAACTCCAAGATAATCAAATGGTAACAACCTGTGATTCCTAAAAACAGGCTTGTATCTAAATCATACTAAAAAAATCTATAAGTTGGAATGAGTTCCGTTTCTTCTAAGCAAGTCAGATTTGGCATTTCATCTTAACATAACCTTATCCACACACAAACAATATATGAAATGAGTAACTTAGAGAACACATTCTAAGCTTACCAAACCAATAAGAATAAGCACTTATTCTAAACTAAGTAACTATAATCAGAAAAAGAAACATATGTAATGTATGTAATGCTGCCATTATGACTCTTATTTTCCAATGCCCTGACACAAGAAAACAGACACTTCTACTAGGGCAGCAAAATAAGTTGCATTAGCATACTATGAGATCAATCATGTAGCAAATTATGAATTGTCTGCAAAAATATTCAAAATTTACAATGTAAAAAAAGCACCTTGGTTACCTACCCCTATGAACATTTTGAGGAGGATTGACCAAGATTTATAAAGAATCATAATCGTCTCAGAGAACTATTACTATTGTTACCAAGGTTTAAGGTCGCCGACAGGGCCAGCAGTCCAATTCAACCTCTTCTCCCCTGGTTTCAAGAATACACTTCTGTCATGCGGCAATTTCCGTGCAAGTCCGTTTAAAACTTGATGGAAAGCATCTCCAGATTGTGCGGGTTGAGGGAATAACATTGCCTGCTTCATAGAAGGATTAGCAAGCAATCTTTGTTTCCTTAATATGACTTCTGGTGGGATCGATGTGAGTATGGTATCCAACTTTGGAACATCCTGTTCATCAACAAATACTCCGATTTCTTCCCACGGTATTGCATCGGCAAATGGAAGAACAATATCATCTGCAATAATAACAGGAATGCAACCAAATACCACAGCTTCAACCAATCTTGGGCTCCATGGGGCCCATCCAAGTGGGCATAGACAAAACACAGCTCTTTGCATGTCCTCGTAATATGTTGTTGGATGCTCGGTCGAAATGTCAAATAATGGATTGTCCTTAAAGTTCTCCCAGACTGCTGCTCTTGCACCTCTGTAAAATTTAAAAATTACAGCCAGTCAGGATTATTTGTTGTCATCAATTTTTTCTGCACTTAAGAGTGTGTGAGTTTCACCACTAGGCTTTTTGAAACAAAAATTAGTAATAAAATAAATATCGAAATCATTCCCTATTGCATTTTTGGTAAAAGGATACCGTGTCAGGATTCTTATTTTTGTGCATACATATATTATAATAAATAAAAGGATGCGTACTCAAACACCCTCATTGAAGCTTGGATCGGTAATAATACCTACCTTGCATAGTAACCACCTTCAGGGTCATTTCCAACATCATAAAACAGTCCTCGGAAGTACACAAAAATTGACCTGGGAGTCTTATCAGGAATCAAGTGGGTGTGCATTTTCTGTGGTGGAGCATAAGGAGGAATGGTAATTGAGCCATCTTTCAAGCACACATGATTCCTCTGTCCAAATGTTTGAACCAAGGTAGCACGCTGCAGCAGTGGAAGAATCCCTCTTTCAATTGCCTTCTCTTCCTGGAACAAAATAATAATAAAAGTGCATGTTACATTATCAATGTGCAGTATTGGAATGCTCAAAGTAGCACGAAGAGTGATATGAACAATAAATTTAAAAGTTGTATTATAAACTCATACTTGGTAATGAAAACAAGCCGCAAAATCATGAGGAACCACAAAGAAATGATCCGCTCCCTCTGTTCGGTTCCAATAAGGCCAGTTTGAAGAAATAAGTTGTATTGCACTTCTCATCATTCGTGGCGACTTAAAGGGTAAAGGGAGGCCATTTGGTGTCAAGTCACAGGTGGTGTATACAGGGGTATAAAACCAATCAGCTTCTTCAGGATTTAGGGTACGGACAGGGCTAGATAAGATAAACCGGTGCATATAGATCTCAGCAGCAAACATATGGGCGAGGCATCTTGGGTCCTTTTGAAGAATTTTCTTATTATATTTACTAGGAAGTTCGTAAACAAAAACCTTCAACCTTCCAACCGGATCATCTTCCAATACATCACCAGCACTACCTACAATTTGTTCAACTAAAACATGCTTAGAGTATTTAATAAAATGAAATATCAGTTTAAAATAACTACACTCACACATAGAAATTAAAGAAACGCATAAGAACCTATTGTATTTCCAGAAACAGAATAGATTCGTTAACAGCGAACCAGGATAAAAATATTTGTGCTCATACTTTGATTCGACAGTAAAATTGGAACTTAGGAACCAGCAAAAATACACCGGGGTTCAGCAAGAATTCTTTAAAGATTACAAATCTACACCAATCTATTGAAATTGCAAAGCCTATAGCCATAAGGATACCAAATGCATATCCTTCTACGAGGGCGTTTGCACCATGACGGGGGGTACGAACAATAAACTTCACATGTTCATTGGAAATCAAGCACGACCTATTTATAACCCCAAGATTCAATTTTGCTCACACTATCTTTAAAGGCTCACTACCTATGCAACATCTTCCAAACTCTTAAACTAGCGGCCGACATTGAACCCAGGGACTGCTATAAGGTAGGCATTGCACCGGCTTCGGCCCCTGCCAATACTGTCCTAACTCTTAACAAAAGTTCTACCATAATCCTACTTCAAAATTCAGATCTTTATGCTCAATGTAGATTCACATAAAAACCAATGCTTTTTATCATTGAAACTACAACATTTCAAGCTAAATAAAATCAACAACCAATGCATCAAATATCATAATCAACCTAAATCAAAACCAGATCTTAATCAAACACAATCACAAAAACCATAACTTCATAAACAAAACATCAAAAACCTCAACAATAAATAACCAAATCAGAACAAAAATCTACCTGAAATTCTTTCAGTAGGTTGATTCCTACGAAGCTCAACAGCATCAATTGAAAATAAAAAAGCAGCACAAAGAACCCCCAAAAACCCCAATTTCCAAAAACCCATTTTTCCGTTCCCAAAAAACAGAACAAAGGTGATAAACGTTGCTACTAAAAAAACAAACAGAGCGCGTAATATAAAGAAGTCAAATTGAATGAACAGAAGAAGGTTACGATGTCATAAGGGAAAGTAGTTGTGAGAGATTTGTTGGATTTTGCTGTGAAGCAACAGAGACAGAATAGAAGAGTGAAGAGAGAGCAATGAAGAAGAAACAGAGTTGAAAATTGAAGAGTAAAGAAGAAGATGAAGGTGAAAATGAGAAAAAAAAATGGTTTGTGTCAAATTTGATGTTAAGTCAATTTCAAACAACCATTTTTGCACCAACTATTATTGCTTTTTGGGTTAAACTTCTACTTTTTTTTTTTCTTTTGATTTTATTTTTTATTTCTTTTAATTGAATTTTTTATTTATAATTTTGTTTTTAAACCGAATAATTTGATTTTGTAATTCAACACAATTTATTTAATAAAGAAAATTTAAATTAAATCTTGTTTATTTTTTCTTCAGAAGATCATTCTATAGTGTATTTTATTGAAATAAATGAAAGGAAAACAGAAGGTTCCGTGAAAAAGAAAAGGAAACAATTAAGAGTGTTTGTTAGAGATGATATTGAAACTCAAGTTTGATTCAGTACTTATAAAATATTTTAGGGTTAAATATAAATATCATAAATATTTTAACATTTAATTTTAGTCATTTAATAAATTTTATTTAAAGAATGGTTATATTAAACATTTTATTCATATTTTTTTTGTCTCTTATGTTAAAATCGTCGCTAATTCAGTTGCTAAATAATAAATCATTGTTAAAATTATCATTTATTTTATCGTTAAATTTTAAAAATCGTCGCTAAATTGCAGAAGGATAAAAAATGTGAAATAAATTTTTTAGAAAATTTATTATTTATAGAAAAAAATTTAAAAACTAAAATTAAATGTTGGAATATTTATAATTAAATTATCCAAAAATTTGAGTGGTACTTACTCTTTTCTAAACTTACATTCAATATTTTAAAAATCTATTTAGAAGTCAAATCGGTGAAATTTTTAATTTAAAATTTAATTAATCCAATCAGTTAAATTTATGATTATTAAATAAATTAACAATATAATATTAAATTTTATAGATATATCATACACAATATTAAATTCGCAACTTAATAAAATAAATCTTTCAAAAATCTTTTACAAATTTAATAAGAAAAATGAATGACACACATAATAACACAATATTATTGTACTTAATTTCAACATTCATTTAGAAACAAAATAAATCTTTCAAAAATCTTTTACAAACTTAATACAAAAAGATGAATGACACACATAATAACACAACATAATTATACTTAATTTCAACATTCATTTGGAATTAATTTGAACAACTTAAATAGTTATAACAAAATAAATTAAACCAATTTAAATTAAAATCAAAATAATAGAACATAATGCTTAAAATAAAATTCAAATGATAAAGAATGCCTAAATTAAATTAGATAGAATAAAAAAATAAAAAATAAAATATATTTAATTGAACAACAATATATAAAAGTGAGTATGACAACAACAAAAGATAATATTGAATTGAACGACAATCAATATTGAGTTAGATAAAGTAAATATGTTTAAAATAAACGGCGTGATGACGATAGAATATCGCTTAAAAAAAAATTATAACAAAACAATAAAACTTAAAAATTTGTATGATTGTAAAAAAATAATAATTAATTTTTGTAAATGAAAAATGTTTTAACTTTTGATATTCACATATTAAACTTTTAGAAAAAATAAAAATAAGACCAATTTAATGATTTTTTTTGTAAGTTACATTATATATAAACTCTCCATCTTTTATTATAAATAGTTTTAACAATTATATATATATATATATATATATATATATATATATATATATATATATATATATATATATATATATATATATATATATATATATATATATATATATATATATATATATATATATATATATATATATATATATATATATATATATATATATATATATATATATATATATATATATATATATATATATATATATATATATATATATATTATTATTATATGAGAAACAAAATTTATGATTATTTTCTTGGAAAATTATTATTCATTAATGACATGAAAAGGAGAAACTTAAAGAATTAAAAAATAATAATACTAAACATTTAAGAATATTAATTGATATTATAAAACAACTTATAATAAAAAAAATTAAATGACTTGTAACCAAAAAATGGTGAGAGTATTTATTATATACTACTATATATGTTTTTTAAATTATTATTCATTAATAACATAAAAAAGATATATTTAAAAGAATTAAAAGAAGAAAGAATAATAAATATTTAAGAATATAATAAAAAATAATATTAATAATTAATTTCTATTTAAATATAACTTAATATTTTTTAAAATGGCTTATGATAAAAAAAATAGTGAGTTGTTTGTTTTATTATAGGTCATTTTTAAAAAAATATATAATCATTTTTGTATGAAAATAAATAAATAAATTACAAATTTTTTTCTAAAATTTTCATTCGTTAATGGTATAAAAGAATAAGTTTAAAAATTTTAAAAAGAGAGAATAATAAATATTTAAGAATATAAAAAAGTATTATTATAATAAAATGATTTATATTTTAGTAGATTTTTTCCTAAAAACTTATAATAAAAAATAAAAGGAATATAGATACTCTCTCCAATGTACTAATTTTTTCCAGATACATAAAATGTAATCCCTCCATTATCTATTAAGAGCAAATTTTAGTTTTAGTTTTTAGATTCATTGAGTAAGTGATGTATCTGGTCTACATATTTGTTAGATATATTAATTATTCAATGAATTTAAGAAAATCAAAATTTGTTTATAATAAAGAATGAGAGGTGTTTTGTTCTAGATCAAAACAATAACTAGGGAGATTGAACTGATGTAATGTTGTGTGAGTCCAAGGTTTTGATGCGGTAGAAAGGAGTTGGTCTGCAAGGTTACTGTTACAACACCATAGTTAGTAAGAGAGTGATAAATGTAATGTCAATGGAAAGTGAAATCCATATCTGGAAAATAATGTGCTAACTCCTTTAAATATGAGTTAGTTAGCAATAAAATGTGAGAGTGAGTGTAAGATGCATAGGACTGTTACATGGATATGAACGGTGAGGGTGAGTTTTATGAGTGTGGTGATCTGGGTAGTGTGGGGTATAAATACATCTATCCGCGTATTGTTTTGCCTCCTTCTATATGTTGGGTCTTTTATGCTTTTTGGGCTTTTGAGTTGGCCCTGAACAATTGTCCCCCAAGTTATTAGCTTCTGTTATGCAGAAAAGAGGTTTGCAATGGATGACTTCTCCAAATTATGAGGTTATACTGTGGAGATCCTTGATGGAACATTGGCATACTTGGGAAGCTGCAAATTTGAATAGGGCTTTTATGTGGCGTTGTGAAGTACAGAGGATGATTGACATATATTTACATTCTAGACAACAATCATGCCCTACCTACATTTAGGGTACTTTAGTGTCTTTTAAAAAAAATTAGATAGATCTTAAACGTTGATGGCGAGGAGTGATTGCACGGTCCTACGGAACAATACATGGTTCTCTAATAGTCATTGTCGTCTCTTATTGACTGTTATTGACTTTTCACAAGAAAATTCTTCACACTTTTATCTTTGTTTTTGGAGTTCTTTTGGGACGAACATTGATTTGTCGTTCATTCATTCGTTTCCTGACATCTTTAATCATGGTGGTTACATATACTTCAACAAGAAGGCCATTAATGACATTTCAAGAGCTTGGGTAAATTCAGAGATATCATAAGTGTTTTTGTTTTCCCTCGTGGAGATGTTTTTTCTCAAGTTATGATTGATGTGGGTTCTTTGGAAGATTTGGGTCTTGTTCCCTCATATGAAGATCAAAGGTTCTATGGTCAATAAGGTGGTTGAGTGATCATGTTCCATGAGTGCATGTTCTCTCTCACTGGCCACAGTCTTCCCTTCGGTGAGTCTGAAGTCAGTGTTCTAAATCATTTACTCATTGCCTCCTCATAGTTTCACCCTGTGAGTTGGGTGTTCGTCAAGGTTTTTCATCACTGGTATGAATATAAAGTTAGTAAGCATATTGCGAATTATTCTTCCACCTCTTCAAAGTACAAAGCAGTTTCAAATATGTGAATGGTTCTGTTTTGTTTCTCGAAAGAAAATTTTCAAATACTTCGAGACTTACTATAGTAGTGTGAAACATTTTTTAAGGATCGCTTATTCTTGGTAGTTTCTCTTAATAGGGAGGCTCACTCGAAGACTTGTTGCCTGGATCTCAGCACCCCTTTAACATGCATAAATCTTTTTCGTAAGTATTGGACTTAGAGTCATTTTTTAACTAGAGTTGAACGTATCGTTATTGCAAGGAAGATTTCTCCAAAGATGAGTTGTATTTGAAACCCAATTAGTGTCTTTATTTCAAGAGTTTGGTTATGTAGGTGAGGTGGTTCTGTAACACCCTGATTTTGAAATTATTATTTTTAATAATTACTTGAGTGTTTCTTTGTGTGATGTTTGATTTATTCTGAATAAATTGTGTTACTTAGAGTTTGGGAGATATAGGGGTATTTTAGTAATTTAATAATTATGGGGACTATTGAATTTAAAATGGAGAAAATAAAATATGATTTATTTAAATTACTAAGATAATTAGATAATTTTAATTATTAGTAATTATCAGAATAATTAGAGTTTTAAAAATAATTTATTATTATTATAGTTTTAATTAAATATTTATTTAATTGAAATATTCATTTAATTAAAATAGATTTGTCACAATTATTTAGAAAAATATAATTTATTAGAATAAATTATTATTGAGATTATTTATTTAATAATAATATGATTTTACTGTTAAAATATTTATCATTGTTACCGTGAGGGTGTGGGAAGCAAATATGGTGTGAGGGTTAATTGGGACTTTAGGGTTATTTAAATAGCTAACGTGTGA